GTGTATTCTAAAATTAATCTCATAATTGTCGTCTATTCGCATCTTTTTGCAATTTTTGTTTGTATTGCATTTTCAATGCCATACTTTGGGAAGCTCAGAGTTTTGTCTCGTATATTTCAAAATTAAGATTATATAGAATATTTATATATTGTTTACATTACTTTACACAAATTTTGTCATGTACTGTAATAAATGTAAAATATTAAAAATTATTATAGATTGGATAATACAACGCAGAAAAAAAATAATCAATTGTTTCGTGATTGTTAATGGTATATTCGATTTTACAATATACTATAGATAAATAAAAATGTATATAGTGTCCTAAAATTTGCGACTTAAAATAATATTATAACAAAAACATTTTCAAAAAGTTCAGTAAAAATAAGGTGTTTGTAAATGTTTATTTTAAGCAGTAATTTTTGAGATAAAAGTTTAAATTTTGAGATACGAGAGTTTTACAAACTACGACTAGATAATCTCTTGTGAACGGGTACTCTCCACTGCCTTCCGTTCAAACAAAAATTATCCGCTTTAAAACACAAATTTTCTGCTTTAAAAATACAAATTATTTTCTTACGTTAATCTCAATTTTATATTTGTGCGCAAAAATGCATGTAGGTAATCGAACTGTAGGCAAGAATCATGTAAGCAAACAATGCGCACTGTAGGCAATCGATTTGTAAGCAAACGGGGTCCTCCTAATTACTTTAATGTACTTAATAAATTACTGTACTAATAAATATTTTAAAACTGATTTTAGATTATGAACTAAAAACGAAACTTTTTTTTTCTTCATGTATAGACGAATTTAAGATCGCTTTAGATGATCTATAATTTGCATTAAATTTCTGATGGAATATTTTGATCTGATACGTTACGGTATATTTTATCTGTGTATTTAATTTCATATACGTGTGTGTGCGTTCTGGATTTATAAGTTCTTGATTTGACTTAACTAACGTACATAAGTATTACATAGATACGTGAAATTATAAGTTCCTAGATTCTAAAAAGCTCTGTAACGCAATAAGATGATAAACCAATGCATATATCGTGTATATCTAATACTGGTAGATAATAATCATCCCTTCGCTCGGTAATATTCCTATAACAATTCACCCAGGTGATAAAGTCAGGGAAGAGCGATTAATCAAATGAAGGCGTTATAGCAACCTTTCGAGAAATAAATTCTGAACTATAATTGCGACTAATGTGATTGGACCGTTATCGAGGCGATGGAATAAAAGGAAGATGTGGAAGCATCGCGGTGCGAAGAATAGCCGAAAAGAATAGCCGAACGGAACAATGATCCGGTAATCGTCTCCCTTCCGACAGCGGGCGTATTAGAATTTATTTCGAATACGCCGACGGCGGCGGTGTGCCCGCCGGTATGGCTATTGATTAACGTCCCTCGCCTCCGCGCCTCGTTAAAAAGCCTTTCGCCATCAATCTCGGCACCTTTTATGATGCCAGCGATTACTCTCCTCTCCGTTACGGGGAATCCCTCTCGGTGACGAAACAATATTTTCGCGTCTCTGGGAATGACTCTCGACGTTACTCACGTTACTCGTGACGTCAAAAGGAAACATGAGAGACGGCCGCCCAGGAGGTGCGGGAGGGAGGAAATATCGACTTCGCTCGCGCGACACGAATTGCGAATTAATGACGCGACTCGGTTTCGCGAGCGAAAACGTAAAGTATCATTGCTCGCGTCTCTGAAAAAGACTCGCTCGACGTTTCGCTCGCGAGATCGCGAATGCTCTCTCGCTTTGTTTCGATCCGCCTTGTTATTTTCAACGTATCGGATGTCACGCTATTAATCATGCACGCCCTGATTTAAATATCTGCGCAACCGATGTCAAAAGCTCGTGCCACTCTACGCATTGGAGCAGAATATTGCGAATTGAAAATTAGAATTCGACCGATTAGAATGAAATAATTTAAGTATTCAGTTACAGTTGATTCTTATATGTTTTTTAGAGTGCATTCTTATATTCTTATATTTTTGTAGTACAGTCTAAAAGTTGTGCTAATCTAATAATAGAGGGTTGTTTATTAATATCCGAAGATATTACTTAAGACAATCTTAAAATATAATTAGAACGGGCTGTGAATGTTCTTAAAATTTAAATTATTTGATTCCAATTCTAATCTTTAATTTGCAATCCTCAATCTTGGATATGTGGTATGAACACGGGCTTAAAGTGCAATTGGTGATAAGATTTGCGCCATGGTTTTGCTTAGACTTCGAAAGGATCCCGTATCAATCAATTTTTTCTTCATGCATTCGTTTGCTCGTCGTTTGCTCACAAATCTTTTGGACTCAGGGTGAACAAACGAAAATTCTAACTGAGCATTCGTGAGCAAACGATGAGCAATCGAATGCATGAAGAAAAGAAATCGATTTTTTAATATTGGGGGGCTAGGGTGAAGTTTTGGCCCCCCCAATACATAATTTTGGTATATCTTTTGAACTAAGGGTGAGCAAACGATAAGCAATCGAATGCATGAAGAAAAAAAAAATCGATTTTTTAATATTGGGGGGCCCAGTTTCACACAGGTCCTTTTTTTATTTAGATACGTGTCTGTAATTGAACGTCTTGTCGATTAATGGCGGAAAAAAAAAAAAAAAAAAATGATTAAAGCAACGACCGCAAAATCCGCGTCAATCCTCCGTGAAAAATGCAATAACTGCATCATTCTGTAAATAAATAAGACCGTCGCAGCAGTCAGCGGCATCTAAGCTCGATAGTTACGTTCACTTAGCGTTTCTCTCGGGGGAGGGTTAGCAATCGTTAAGAGTCGAGAGCGCAGCAGACTCGGCAGAGAGCAACCCGTGGAAACTAATTGGATATCGTGGGCTCGTCCTTTGCAGCATACCGTTTCCATAATTAAATTGCTCGCGGCCTCGGCGCCGCCGCATGTCGATAATCAAACTAATCCACGGCGCAACATTCCCGGGATAATGGTTTCGCGCCGTCGACTGTACGCGACAGGGCGATAGGAAGGATTCCAAATGTTCACCCCCTCGCGATTGTCGCTGCCGCACGTCGCGCCGCCGCCCCTTTCGTCATTGTCCTCGTCGCTTTCGTCGCGTTTCCTTTTGTTTCATTGATAGATCGTTCCTTTCGTAAGTAAAAGGTACGTGCACTCGTCGCGCGTTTCGGTTATACGAGGGTAGAAGCAATATACCGAACGACAGATACGAAAATATATAGCGCGGACAGAGAAGGAGGTGGAAGACGGCAGCGGTTCAAAATAGATGTAGATCTATGGGGGTAGACGGAAAAGGCGGTTAAGGGAGAGTGAGAGAGAGAGAGAGAGAGAGAATTGAGCGGGTGAGGAATATCGGGCGGAAAGACGCGAGGAGGAGAAAGTTCGCGGAAGGACGACACGTTAGCGCGCGCAAGTCTTTCGTCCTGCCCCGTTACTCCACTGGCGGATTCACGAGGGGAGTCATAGAAGGGCTATCCTTCTTCCCTCGTAGAATCTTCTTTTTTACAAATATTTACAGCAAAATGTTACATTCATTTTTAATATATTTCTGAAATGTTTCATCGCAACCTTTATATTCCATACTTTTCTTCAATTTCAAAAAACAACTGCTAATATATGTAGATATAAAAAACATGTTACAGATTCTATTATATTATTTTTCTTATGTGTAATTGTGAAATAATTTTAAATATGATTTCATGAATTATAATATTTTAATAATTTATTTTCAAATATAATTGTTTAAATAATAATTTAATCCTTTGTAGACATATATATATGTATTTTTACTTCGTAGGTACACTGAGTTTTTTTGTCCAGCAAATTTTGTTACTGTTACAGACTTCAAAAAAGTCTAGAAAAACTCGGGATTACTTTTTTAACATCTCTGGCTACACTGCCAATGGTTTGTTAATTCGAGTATTAAAATCTTAATTTGATAAAAATTGAAATTTGTGTCAAAAAATTTGAAAGTGAAATTTCACCATGGGTCGGAAAAAAAAAAAAAAAAAAAAAGATCCAGGGTTGTCTACGAAGGGTCAATATTCTATCCTTTCATATTTGAAAGTTAAAAAAAAATTTCGCTCGCGACGTGCCAATGGCTTCCCCCTTGACAAATTTCTCGATCCGCCAATGCGTTGCTCCGATCCTTCCACCTCTCGCACGCCGGCATGGCACGGAGGAGGCCGAGCGGGAGACAGGGTGGGCGATGCGTTCGCCGACGGCCGCGAGATATAGAATGGACGGTATAGGGCAGGGAGAGAACGCGAGGGGGTTGAATAAGTCCGTTCCGCTCGTGGTGGAAAGCGTGGGAGGACAGAAGGAGAGAGAGAGAGAGAGAGAGAGAGGAACATCCGTTCCGCGCTCTCCAACGGAGAGTGCGTAGTAAAAACATATTTTAACGTCACGTGTAATCTAAATCCGCTTTTCACACGCGCGATCGGAATGAAACTGTCAAAAGTGTCAGAACTGGGACTTCGACGTTCACATATAGTAATAAACAGGTTTCTGTTCGCTCAGCATCTTCGCTTTCTCTTCAACATTCGCGCGCGAATACATGTATATTTATATACTCTTTATAAATACAACAATTTTTGAGAGAGATTCAAGCAACGCGCGTAATAAATCTAATAATTGTTAGAATACGCCGGAGATAAAGAAAGAGTAAGAGCGACGATGAAAGAGAGAGAGAGAGAGAGAGGGAGAGAGGGAAGAAAGAGAAGTCTGCTCCGAGTAGTAGACTGAGCGGGTCTGTTGGCGGCCGGGGGGGGGAGAGGGAAGGTCGCGCGGGATTGGGCGGGAGAGGGGACGTATAGCTGGGTCGAATACGCGCGATTGGTGGGGGGAGTCGTTGGCCTCGGGAGTCTTCGTTCGCGGAGCGGTCTCGCCAGTGCGTTGCGGAACGTGCTCCCCGTCGGTGCGTCACGTCGACGTTTCGTACCGCGCGCGTGATACCTGCCGCCGTTTTCCGCGTTTTTTTTTTCGGAAGTCCGCCGCGCGGCTGGATCGAAAAGCGACGGTGTTTTCATCTCTCTCTGTCTCTTCCCCTCTAACACGTGTGTGTGCGCGAGCGCGCGTGGTGCGTCAGTGTGTGCGCGTGCCTGTGCGTACATGTATACCGGATGCCCGGTGTATACGCGGGCGGCGGCAGCGTCGTCACGCGGCGATGAACGCCGATGACACACGGGGCTCTCGAGAGGCAACTTCTTCGTCGGGTGGCGCGCGTTGTCGGACGGGCCAGGACTCCTCGCGGCGGCAACGGCAGCAGCAGCAGCAGCGGCGGCGGCGGCGAGCACGCCCGCCGTGCCTGCTGGCGGCACCAGGACTCGCGGAGCAACGACAAGCTGCACACCTCGGTAAGTGTCCGGACAGGCGCACTACTTTCCGTATGTATTATCGTCGCGACGAGCGCGCGTACCCCAGGATACGGGCTTCCGCACTTGCGTGCCGCACTACCTCCGACGGATTCTTCGGAGTACTCGAGCGGTAACCGCCTGGTCGTCGTCGTCACCGCCGTCTCGGGTCCTCGGAAAAATTCAAAGGTATATCTGGCGCCATTTTCCGCGCTGCACGTTTGAATTTCCGCACGTCGAACATTCTCGATATACCCTCCGAGTCAAAAGTTTCGAAATTGTTGAAAACATTTTTATTCTTCGGATTATATTTCGCAAATAATTGTATAATAATAAGTGAGCATTTTTAAATAATAATGCCGCTTTCCTTTCAGGAGACACGGTCGACGCAAAACACGTCGTTCTACATCCTCTTTTGCATTCGATGAGTAACAAAGCTACAACCACACTTGTGTCAATCGTGTCTTCTAAAAAGAAAACCCGTAATCACGCTGCATATTCGAAACTGAGAATTATGAATTATATAGATTAGAATTCGACCAGTCAGATACCTAATTTAATTTTAATCCGTTTTGGTTCTAATTGTGACTGAATTCTAATTAATTTTGCAATCTTCAATTTCTAATGCGTATTATGACACTTTAATGGGCTTAATGGGTTTTCTACAATTATCTATTATCTAAGTTTTTAGTTTTGTAAGCCGTAAGAAATTCACCACACAGTCACGGTTGATTATTCTTCTCACATTCAAGTGTAACTGGTCAATCTCTTAACGGGACTTAAAACTTATTGCAAAATTTATGTTGTTCTTCCGAGAAAGATCCAATCTTTTATTAAATATCCCTAACAATATGTTTTTTAACAACGATTCTTTAAATCCAATAACAATTATTGGATCCCCCTACGTGGATATTTAAACCAGTAATTCTACAAATGTTAATGTAAAAAAAAATTTGTTTCCGAACTTTTGGCCTACAGCAGCTCGGCCTGGAATGTCTAAGTATATCGAATATATCTAAATAACACTTATTGTTAGTAAAACTCGAGTTTCAGAATATTAAATATTAAATTAATTGTAAGATTACCTGAGTAGATAAATATTTTTCTCATAATTTTATTATTATATTTAAAAATATTGTCATGACGTACAATTGAATGCGCATCAATTAATATAACGCAAATTCCTAAAAACCTTTTTTTCCTTGAAGTGTTATTTAGAGATTAATTATGTGGATTCAATGAAAGCCATCGTGTGTATCGTATATACCGAGTTACATTTCGTTGGAATTTTGACAATTAAAAGATAAGGGCACTCCACTATTCGCGCTGCTTGCCCTTGAAATCGAATTCGCGGAACGCACGTTGACGCGAATGTCTCGTTGATCGTGATGTCGAAATAACCGCCATTCTCGTCGGCGTGGATTTGAAATAGAAAATTTATCCGCATCGCTTGAAATCCCTAAAAATGTTTGCACTTAGAATAAGATAAATATAGGTATCGAAGAAAAAGAAGGCGAAGATGTGCTCGGTGCACAAAGTACAAGAAACGCGATAGACTTTTGGGTATATATATATATATTTCGATGTTGAAAAGAGAGAAAGCGAAAACTGCTGAGAGTGCAAAAAGTGCAAGCAACGCGAATAGAACTAATGACGGGACATCTCATATGTTTATGCATGTTTATGACGCGAGTCCCTCTGTGTTTCGTCACAATTCAACGCTCACGCCGTCCCTCCGCGTTACGTCCGATCGGAATGAAAGGAACGTGATTAGCGGGTCGGATCTCTCGCGAAGCGAGACGCGTGAAGTTGGTCGTGCATGCGGGTCGCGCGGTCGACGTGACGAATCAGGATATAACTTGTCGGGACGAGTCAGCGTGTCCTGCCTGTTCCTTCCCGTCGAATCGCGGCGCGCCGCCGGCAACAATTTGGAGCAAGTAAGGAGAATTTATATTAAACGGATATATAACAAGAGAAACTGTTATTGTACTGAAAAGAGGGAGGAACAAGGAGACATCACGCTTTGCGTCTATTGTATAAAATTACATTTCATATTCCAACTCCGTGAAAAGATATCGTTACGTTACAATGGCGGAATTACGCGACTGATCATAATGAATAATTATACATACACAGGATCAAATATGAATATCGTGACACAAGTATTCGCGATCTCTCTCTTTCAGTTTCGATCCGTCACTCTTATTATATTATAATTATTATCAATTTTAATTTGAAATGATTAACTTGGGAATAATCGCTTGATTTATTTATACGTAAATGATCACATGGAGTATTTTTACATCTCAATTAAAATCATTATTATTAACAACATATTGTATTGTATTATTTATTTTCTTCCGATTTTTATGTTTGAAAACGTTATAGATATAAATTTAATAATAATTTTCTGAAAAATAATGCGTAAAAATCAAACAAAATTAAATGGAGTAAACACGTTAAGTAGCCTACTTCATATACATGACAGTACTCTTAAAATATAGATTTTAATTAATATATTTAATATGACTTTAATTGTAACGTTTTTTATTATATGAGTTTTTCATATCACATTTAAAGATTCGTAAAAAATAATTATTTAAAATGAAGGAAAGTAGGTTAAAAAAATATTTATATAAAATAATATTTTACAATTCACATTTTTTCGCCACGGAGCTCTGAGGTTTAAAAACATTTCAGATGATTATTCCCGGCAATGTAAACCTATATATTTTATAATTTAAAGCAACTGCAAAGTAGAAGTGTCCTGGTTATAAAAAAAACGGATAAATTGTACGAAATATTTAAATGTAACTAAACATATATTAAATAATTATTATCATGTTACAAATTTAACTGTTTTACAAAAGCTTGTGATTTTTTTATCTTTTCCACCGAGCAATACTGACTGTTCTTTTAGGTACACCGAGTGATAAAGATATCTTCAGGAATAAATGATTTAAAAATAGTCAAAGATTCTTCGCGAGTCGTGCGTTATACAATCTCATTCGCTTTGGATTCGTCGTTTTATGCCAAACAATTTGCATAAATTATACGTACCTTTTAAAGGATGCCTCGCGAGGAACGAGCTAGTTCCGCCTCGTTCCTCGACTTGAATCGGCGTGCTGGAGAGAACGTCTTTAAATGTAGGGAAATATTTGCGACAGAAATTGGTAACGGCTCGTCAAGGCTCTTGAGTAAAGCTCGCAAGTTCGATCGCGAAGTCAAAAGAGGAAGTCCAGATATGATGTTCGTATTTCTGCAACTGTACAGTCTCCAGGGGAGGCAGAGTGTTTTATTATGTTATGTTAAAAGCCATCGAGAAAGGTACTGTGATGCTGTATTTGGAAATAACGACAAGAATAGTTAGGAACAAGGGAGGTTAGGCAACACGGAAATTCAGAATATTTTGAAACATTGTGTGCAAGTAGAATGAGTAATTCTCAAACGTGCAAAAGTTCAAATATTATTCCTTTTAAATACTCGTTAAAAAATATTATTCGTTGCCATTTGATTTTAATCATCAACAGATCTGCAGAATAATAATCTCCTGTTGTTTTAGAATGGATATTAAGTACTCTAAAGAATTGTAAGGGGTGATTTTTTTTTACACGACTTTAAGACGAAAACTTTATATACATATAACCGCCTGTTTGAGAAACTACTTATAGTTTCAAAGATATACAGAATGTCAAAATAAAAGGAAAAAGTTTCGTTTTTATCAAAAATTTTGAAAATCACTCTGAACGAGGGATATCGAAAAAAGTTTAACAAAAGTTGTATCTGTTTTTTTTATGTCTACAAAGTTGTATGTAGATAAGTATCGAAAAAAACATGGATTTTTCGATACTCATCTATATGCAGCTTTGTACATGTAAAAAGAGATGCAACTAATGGGTGCCTTCCAACAAGCGACATAGATGACACGTTGTGGCACACAGTACATCCTTGTTGTTCGCCAATGTTAAACAAGGATGAGATGATCACTGTGTCGCTTGTTGGAAGGCACACTTTGTTTACAATTTTTTTTTTCCATATCTCTTTGTTCAGCAGTTATATTCCATCAAAAAGAAAAATTTATATACTCTTTTAAAGAGGTAATTTCATCCCCTCAAATCGTAATACATGGCATGAACGAACAATAGTTTTGTATTATGGATGAACCAATTTACTTGCGTATAAATTTTCAGAATTTCCGGGTTGCCTGACCTTCCTTGTAAGTATTCTGTAAATTCTCAGAATGGAATGTCACTTTAAAGAATGAAAATTCTGCTAGTCTTAAAAGAGAGTTTTCAATCTTTAAGATGAGTGAGATTTTACTTTTTGGAGTGTGAGATCTAAAAGATTTTAAGAGAGAGATAATTTCTCATACAAATTTAAAACGGAAACTATGGCTATATTCGATAAAATAGAGGTGTCTGTACATATATTATTTTTATTGTGTCGGTGTTAATATTAACACCAATACTCGTATGATGATTTAACATGGGTTCTAAAGCTACATCATGCTGGTGTAGGTATAAACATTAGAGGTTTTAAATTCACACCATATTGGTGTTATCAACACAGTGAAGTTGGTGAAAATTATATAAATATCGTATGGGTGTTAAATCTAAACTGATATTTTTAGAGTGAATAAATGTTTTTCGTATACACAGCAAGAGATTCAAATAGCACAGTGTATCACAGTAAATCATTATATTTTTATTGTTTACCAATGCTAAATAAAAATGAAATAATCACTGTGTTACGCTGTCTTTTGCTGGGAAGCACTGTATACATATGTTCGGAATGGCTCAGTTTCAAAGATAGGGTGTTAAAGTTGAAAGGAAAAATTTTGTTTCTCCCCAAAGTTTCAAAAACCACTTGGATTATTTTGATGTCCTAGAAATGTAAACAAAATTTCATCAAAATAACTCAAGTGGTTTTCGAAAGTTTTAGAAAAAATGAAACTTTTCTTTTAACTTTGACATCCTGTATCTTCGAAACTAAGCCGTTTCTAG